ACTAAACAAGTGAAAGACCTGTATCGCAAAAACTTTGAGTCTTTAAAGAAAGAAATTAAAGAAGACACCAGAAGATGGAAAGATCGCCCATACTCTTGGATAGGTAGGATCAACATAGTAAAAATAGCAATCTTGACAAAAGCAATATATAGATTTAACGCGATCCCCATTAAAATCCCAGCACAATTCTTCACAGACCTTGAAAGAACAATTCTCAACTTTATATGGAAAAACAAAAGACCCAGGATAGCCAAAACAACCCTGTTGAACAAGGCAACATCCGGAGGCATCACCATCCCTGACTTCAAGCCCTATTACAGAGCTATAGTCCTGAAAACAGCTTGTTATTGGCACAAAAATAGACAGGTAAACCAATGAAATTGAATTGAAAACCCTGATATTAACCCATACACATATGAACACCTGATCTTTGACAAAGAAGCTAAAATTATACAATGGAAAAAAGAAAGCATCTTCAACAAATGGTGCTGGCATAACTGGAGGCTGACATGTAGAAGACTGCAGATAGATCCATATCTATTGCCTTGCACAAAACTTAAATCCAAATGGATCAAAGATCTCAACATAAATCCAGCCACACTGAACCCCTTAGAAGAGAAAGTGGGAGGTTCCCTTGAACAAATTGGTACAGGAGACCACTTCCTGAACATAACACCAGTAGCACAGACACTGAGATCAACAATTAATAAATGGGACCTCCTGAAACTGAGAAGCTTCTGTAAGGCAAAAGACACAGTCAGCAAGACAAAAAGGCAACCCACAAATTGGGACAACATACCTCATCTGTCAGAGGGCTGATGTCCAAAATTTACAAAGAACTCAAGAAGCAAGCCTCCAAAACACCAAAGGATCCAATTAAAAAGTGGGGTACAGAACTAAATAGAGAATTCTCAATAGAGGAGTCTAAAATGGCTGAGACATAGTTAAGAAAGCTCAACATCCCTATCCATCTGGGAAATGCAAATCAAAACAACTCTGAGATACCATCTTACTCCCATCAGAATGGCTAAAATCAAAGACACCAATGATAGTTTATGCTGGAGAGGATGTGGAGAAATGGGAACACCCCTCCACTGATGGTGGGAGTGCTGACTCGTACAGCCACTTTGGAAATCAGTATGGAGATTCCTCAGGAAAATGGGAATCAACAATTCTACTCTTAGGCATATACCCAAAAGATGAATATTAATACAACAAAGACGTCTGTTTCACTATGTTCATAGCAGCATTATTTGTAATAACCAGAACCATGAAGCTACCTAGAAGCTCCTCAGCTGAAGAGTGGATACAGAAAATGTGGCACATTTACATAATGGAGTACTATTCAGCGCAAAAAAACAATGGAATCCTGAAATTTGCAGGCAAATGGATGGCACTAGATGAAACCATCCTGAGTGAGGTAACCCAGTCACAAAAAGAGAAACATGGCAAGTACTCTCTCATATATGGATTTTAGACATGGATCAGGGGAGTGCCAACATACAGTCCCACTGCCAGAGAGTCTGGGAAACAGAACCTTCATCCAGTGGCTGATGGAAGTAAAGGCAGACACCCACAGCTAAACACTGAACTGAACTCCTGAAATCCATTGACAGAGGGAGGACTGATGAGCAAAGGGGTCAAGACTGGGCTGGTTTAACCCACAGAAACAGCTGACCTGAACAAGGGGAGCTCTTGGACCCCAGACTGATGGCTGGGAGGTCAGCATGGGACTGATCCAGACCCACTGAATGTGGGTATCAGTGAGGAGGCCTAGGAAATCTATAGGGCCTTGGGTAACATTTATTCCTGGCATACAAATGAACTTTAGGTGCCCATCCCACAATAAGGGGTGGTCTCTCAGCCTGGACTCTTATGGGAGGGCCTAGGTCCTGCCCTGAATGAAATGACAAACTCTGGAGATCCTCCATGGAGGTCCTCACCCTCCCTGGGGATCAGAGTCAGGATTGGATGGGGGTTGGGGGACTGGTGGGGAGGCGGGGGAGGAGGGGAGAGAAAGGGAGCTGGGATTGACATGTGAAGAAAACTTGTTTCTAATTTAAATAAAAAATGAAATGAAGAAAAAAAGACTAAAATGTTATAGAAATATCCTCATTGAGCCAGTCGGCAGTGGCACACACCTTTAGTTCCAGCACTTGGGAGGCAGAAGCAGGTGGATCTCTGTGTGTTTGAGGCCAGCGTGGACTACAAACAAGTTCCAAGACAGCCAAGAGACACAGAGACACAGAGAAACCCTGTCTCAAAAACAAAACAAAACAAACAAAAATTATAGCTAGTCCATATTTCTAGATGTGTGTCTTCCAACCTTCACACCATGACCCAGCCAGGTGACCAGGTGAGGTCATCCAAGACTATCATGTCCTGTCAACTCACCAGAGCCCAGAATCCCGGGACCCATAAATCGTAAGAATGGTTTATTGTTTGACTCAACCAACTTCCATGTGATTTATGGTACATCAAGAAATCCAAGTCACCATGTTCATATGAAACCCTATCACTTGATGTACTGGACACCTGGAAACTAGAAGCACAACTTTTTTGTTTCTTTATTTTGTTTCAAGACAGGGTTTCTCTGTGTAGCCTGGCTGTCCTGGAACTCACTCTGTAGACCAGGCTAGCCTCGAACTCATAGAGATCCACCTACCTCTGCCACCCAAGTGCTAGGATTAAAGGCATTTACCACTACTGCCTGGCCTAAAAGTACAACTTCTAACAGAAACTGATCATAGATCCCTCTTTCTTGATTTAAAAACATAGAAAAAAAAACCTCATTCCAATACCTCAAACTGGGAAAGACTGGAGTTTATCTAGCTCTATCTAATGGCAGAGACAATGTGGGCTCTGAAGAGCAGAGACGCTGCTTCAGGTAGAGTTTAATATGTGTGGTCTTATGCTGGGCAGAGTTATTTTAACCGTACTGCAAGAATATACAAAGTGGCTGAGGGTTGGGTCACTGAAAAGCAAGGACTTAAATGCTACATAGAGACACACAGTTGTATTCGCAGAGTGCAGGAGGCCGAAGCAGGAAGACTGAAGTTCAAGGTCACCCTGGGCTATTTAATGAGACTCTGTCTCAAAAGAAAGAGAGGAGAAGGAGGGCAGGTAGGCAGGCTGAATTCTACTAGAACCAACCAACTTTTTAATCTCCATGTAACATATAAACACCATGCATTTGACACTTAGATAAACATTTTATTATTATTATTATCACCATTATTTTGATTTTTGAGACAATGTCCTGGAGCTTGCTATGTAGATCAGGCTGGCCTCAAACTCACGGATATCCTCCTGCCTCTGCCTTCAGAGTGTGGGGATTAAAGGTACCACCACACCCTACAGTGAGCCATTTTCAAATAACTTAATATGATCATTGTAACCATGTCTATTATAAATTAATAACAGTTAAAACTGCACCATGGGGAGGAGCAGGAGGAAGGAGACACATTTGGCTAGGAAACGACAAGAAGAAGGAGAAGGAGCTCTGTGCCTTTTCTGTGGTGGCAGAACATGAGGGCACAAATTCATTAATAACTACCAAAAACAGAGTCATGCCAAGCAGCGGTGGCGCACGCCCTTAATCCCAGCACTTGGGAGGCAGAAACAGACAGATCTCTGTGAGTTAGAGGCCAGCCTGGTCTACAGACCGAGTTCCAGGACAGCCAGGACTGTCACACAGAGAAAACTTTGTCTCAGGAAAAAAAAACAATAAAGTCATGAAGTAAACTGAGGAAATTGATGACAGTTCAGAATACACCACTGCGCTCCTACCCTCACACAGCTCTCCTCAGACAATCTACTGTCCTGGCCCCAGTAACAGAACAGTTTTGTCTGGTTTTGGATTTCCTGTAAATGAAGACGGGGGCTGGGGAGATGGCTCAGGGGTTTAGAGCACTTTCTTCTTGCAGAGGATTTGGGTTCCACTCCCAGCATCCGCATAGTGGCTCACAACCCTCTGTAACTCCAGCTTCAGGGGCTCTAGGGTCCTCTTCTGGCTCCCATGGGCACATGCATACATACAGGTACAGCACTCATACATATTAAATAAATACATCTGAACAGATTTCTAATGAAATCATATAAAATTGTTCACTTTCTTTGCAATATATTGTTCTATCATATGACTATACTATGACACAAACATTTGTTGTTGTGTGATCACTGATGTGATATAAACAGTGCTATGCTATAAATATTCTCATATAAGTCTTTTGGTCATAACAATTTACCCTACCAGTAACATCTTATGCCTATAATCTCAGCACTCAGGAGTCTGACACAGGAGGATCACTGTGATTCAAGGTTAACCTGGACTACAAAACAAGATCCTGTCTCAAAATGGGGGGGGGGTGGCAGAGAAAAGAGGAAAATCTAGTAATTCTACATCCTCACTGAAACTTTGTATTAGCCGTTTTTTCTATCTTCTGCTCTTCTGAGGACTATAGTATTTTATTGTTGTCTTTATTCTGATTTCCTTGATCAGTAATGTTTCTGCTCTTTTTTTTGTTAGTCATTCAGATGTGGTGTTAGACAGCTTGCCAGCGCTGTGATAAAGTGCCTGACACTCTAGCTTTCAAGCAGGAAAGGGTTATAAAGGAGGTTTTAGCTCATGGTCATTTGGTCCCACAGCCTTTGTGCCTGTGTGAGGCAGACTCAAGGGAGGAGCACAGGGCAAGAGGAAGGTACTCACTGCATGGCAGCCAGGAAACTCCTCCTGTCACGCCCCACTTCTAGAAGTTTCTATCACCTTGCAACAGTACCACAGGCTGGTCCTCTGAGACTTCAGATCCAAATTATAGTAGATGCACTCTTTCATAAAGAGCTTTGTAAAGTCCTGACCAATTTTTGTTAATTTCCTATGGATTCTTCATATAGCTTAGGTAAAAATCCTTATTTTACATGCACACACACACACACTATATATGTATATATATATATACATATATATATATATATATATGATTGTTGAGAGCACCTTACCATGGTTTTGGTTTTTTTATTAAAAAATATCTTTTAATTGTGAAGTCAAGAGGTACCAAATTTTAAAGAAAAACTTAAAGGGCAAGACTTAACAGGAAGTACCAAGGAGCACCAGAGGAAGTTAAAGTGGAACCAGGTGCAAGGCAATTACGATTGTATGCACACAGGAAGGATAAAGAGGGAGATCAGTGGGGATGTGCTGAAGACACCGGGGAGAGGAACTGCTTTTACTTCAATCTCTCACAAGTCATAGGTAAGGAATGATGGGACATGATTTCTAAATTCCACCATGTGCTTAAGACTCAGCCTCTCCTTCCTCAGCCTCTTCTTCATCGTCTGTGATCAGTTCCAGCTCTTCACACCCCTGTCTTCATCATCATCATCATCATCATCCAGCAGGCCACCTGCTCAGCAGTCATCTGCATCCGCCTCAGACTCCATCTTGACGACACTTTCATGTTTCCACACAGAGAGGCTGCTCTGCTCTTCTCTAGACCCTTCATTCTTCGTCTCTGCTGGGGTGGAGATGGGAAACTGTGCATCCTGTCGTGATAGATAATTCCGCTGGAAGTCATAGTCTAAGTCAAATAAGGAACCGTACATCTCTGCTGCAGACCATCTCATACCCGCTCTTCCTCAGCTCACCCTTCGCTCTGCAGCCAGATTAACGAGCATCTAAACCCTGGCCAGCGCTCATTCTGCCACCCCGTGCAGCTACGGCACCCCAGGTACTTCTCTCATTAACACACTCGATGAAGGCAAAGCCCCTGTGCACACAGCAACCCACAATCTGCCATACTATGAAAAGATTGCCTCCACACCAGATGTCTTGACTACAGGGTGCTGAGGCTCCCAATAAACGGATCCAGGCTCTGCATTGTTGGTAACATTGCCAGCCATCTCCTTTGATGATAACGTTTCTCCCAAAGCCAAAAACATAACAGAAGATCAAAAAACTTCACAAGAGGTAGGAGATAAGAGACTGCCTCTTCTACTAAGGTTCTACGACACTAAAGTTACAACAGGTGGGAAGCTCACAGCTGTCTGTTCAACGTCTCTTCCTAGAAATGTCCTTTTCTTGTTTTTCAATTTCAAGGTGTGTTCGTGTCTGCACATGAGACTGTGAACCCAGCAGACTTTTCTGTGATGTTTAGATTTACAATAGAGGAGAGAATTCATTCCCAGATGTGACAATTGAACAAAAAATTTGTCTAAATTTTCCTACTTTCTGTTTGTTGGAACCTGCAATATAAAAATCTCAATTCCTTCCGTGTGTTGGTGGTGCACACCTTTAATCCCAACACTCAGGAGGCAGAGGCATGTGGATCTCTGTGAATTTGAGGCCAGCCTGGTCTATGAAGTGAGTTTCAGAGCAACCACAACATTACACAGAGAAACCCTGTCTCGAAAAATAAACAACAAAAAGAAACTCAATACTTTGAGGATCTAGTATTAAAATCTAAAAGATAATTTTGAGATGAATGAAATTTGTTCCCATGTGCCAGGCAGATGCCAGTTTTAGTATAGAGCCAAGTCTCTGGATGGGCTAATATGACATCACCTCAGAAGTAGAGATTTCCAAATTAGATCATATGATTCCAGCAAGCTGTCTGTGTTTGAGAGGAAAAGCATTCAATATGTGGTTGAAAACATAGCAGATTGGATCAAGATGGAAGACTGGGAACAAATTCTAACTCTCCTCTTTCCTCTTTCCCAAATCTCTACAAATTACAGAAAAATTACCTGGGGACAGAGTGAGGGCCTACAGCATGGTAGGCAAGCACTCTGCTCAGAGCTGAACCCAACCCTGAAGAGCTGAAATTTGAAGATAAGAAAAAGCAACTCCCGGATGTTGCTGAACAGCACTTCCTTATCAGTCAACCCTGAGATTACTTCAGTCAGCTGAGTTTGCCAACCATTATCCAAGACTAACTTGAGAGTGGAAATGCAAATTAAATGTTCACATTTGAGCATAGCTAGCATGACTAGGCAAGGGGACATATCAGCAAACAAAAGAAATAAAACATCTTACCTTACAGAAATTATACTCTAGTAAATACATATAATTATAGTAAGATAAATTTGGTCTTTGAAAAGCTGTGGAACATGTGCTGGAGAGATGGTTCAGTGTAGAAGAATGCTTATATCTGCTCTTCCAGGGTACCAGCATCCGGTTCCCATCATCCACACCTGCTCTATACCAGCATCCTGTTCCCATCATCCACACCTGCTCTATACCATCATCCAGTCCCCATCATCCACACCTGCTCTATACCAGCATCCGGTTCCCATCATCCACACAGAAGGCACACAACCTCCTGTAACTCTAGCTCCGAGGGAATCTTAACCTCTCTTTTGTCCTTCACAGGCACCACACATATGAGGCACACACAGACACACTTACACATAAAGAATAAAAAATAAAAACTAAACCTTTAAAAAAAAAGGTACGGAAATTGCTAATACAACCAGTAAGTATATTAAGGCCAAAAACCACACAAATATATTTATTTATTTCCTAGTTCACCACCTAATCACATAAGAATGTTTGAGAATTTTTTGGCTATGAATTTCAAGGCATTATAAAAATTAAAATCTTCTTGGGAAATATGAGCAATTTCAAGTGTTCCAAATCTTATCTGCCCATGAAATTCACTGGAAGAGAGAGGTATCAGAAGTCAGTTTTAAGAAAGTGGACTAGAATTTAGTCAGATAACTTACTTTATTTCTCCAAACAAACAATTAAAGTAATCCAGATGTTGGAATTGTGACTTCAGGGAGACAACATCTAGCAGGTGGGCTTTGATCATATACAATCCAACTGCTCAATTCAATAGCTATTAGTCACCTGATGTTGCTTAACTTTGAATTAATTATAACCTTAAAATTAAATATTTAGCAGCTCTAGCATACTAGGTGCCCATCACATGTACAATAGCCACGCATGCCTGTGTCAACCAGATTAGTGCAAATACAGAATGCCTGTGTTATTAGACAGCAGAAGGGGCATCCCACTCCTAAGAAAAGCAAACACATTCTAGAGAGTGTTACAAAATCTTGTATTTAAAGTGGTAAAAATGGAATAAGTTTTCTCCTCAGCTCCTTGGCTACTTGCATTTCTGTATCTTGCTTTACTTTCTCCTCAGAATGTGTTTGTAAGTTTTGACTTTCTCTAACTCCTCACGTCCTTCCCCGCCATCTTCCGGGACTGGACCTCTCCTCTCCCTACTCTTTGCAGCAGCAAATAAACAGGTCCCTCTACAGATATGATGCACTTACTAAGGTTTTTCTTTTTAATTTCAATAATAAGATCGAATGGTAGAATGGTTGCCAGGTATGTATGACACTAAAGCCTTGAGTTTGACCTCCAGCATGTTGTGGTGGCCTATATGCCTGCAATTCCAGAAACCCAGGAGGATCAGAAATTCAGGGTCATCCTTGGCCATATCTTGAGTATGAGGGTCAGCCTGGGCCATGTGAAACTAAGACTCAAAAAGAAAGAAAAAGAGAGAGAGAGACAGAGAGAGAGAGAGAGAGAGAGAGAGGGAGGGAGGGAGGGAGGGAGGGAGGGAGGGAGGGAGAGGAGAAAATAAACTCACGTAGTTGCATAAACATTGTTTTTATTGTACTTTTAAAAAATACCACAGTATTATAGTGGAGATATTTTAAATGTTTTAGATTTTATGTATTTGACTGTTCTGCCTGCATGTGTCTATGCACTGTGGGTGTCTGATACCTACTGAGATCAGAAGATGGCACAGACGATGGATTCCCTGGAACTGGAGTTACGGTTGGTTGTAAGACACACTCTGGGTGCTGGGAAGCGAACCCCAGTCCTCTGAAAGAACAAATGTTCTTAGCAGCTGAGCCATCTCTCCAGCCCCCTATCATGGGAGCATTATACCTTTGTCTTTGTTTTAAGGAACACAGTCTCACTCTGTAGCCCAGGCTGGCCTAAAACTGGTGATACTGCTCGAATCTCGGGAATAACGAGCATGATCGGTTTCCAGGCATGTTAAAGAGATGTGACTTCTCACGTGTTTTTCTTTTTGAGATCATGACCCCTTCCACAGAAGGGGCCCCTTACCTTGGGAAAACGGATCGAAGGAGCCATGCAATTCCAGTTCCTGCCTCTGGGTCTTCCATTCAAGGGAGACCTCACTCGACTCCTCCAGGTCCCCATAGGGTATCAACATGACGCCAGCCGCCATCTAGCGGCGGGAAGGCGCAAAGGCGCCTCCGCCGGGGTGGCTCCCAGCAGTTGCCAGGTGACGGGAGCCACGCGCCGCTAAGGAGGAGGGCACAGCGCGAAGGATACGTAGGGTCGCAACAACACGGCCTTCCATTGGCTGAAGATTAGTCAACAACCGCCTGAGCCAATGCGCAGATGGGAGCGGATGACGTCGATGCGACTCCTCCTCTGTGCTCCCAGGACGCTTCTGGAGATCCAGGGTCCTGCGGCACCCACCCCTCTGCAGCCCGGCTGCCCTATGTGCACTCCACAGCTGCACCTGCTGACGGTGCTAGTCCTGATGCTTCCTGACGCCGCCAGACCTCAGACCTCCCCAACCCAGGCTCTGCCAGCCTCCTCGGCTCTGGGGCCAGTGACTCCCGAAGAGGCAACTGCAACTCCGCCGGACTGGTCTGAGGACCCTACTCCCGGGACCCCGTCGATGCCGGAAAATGTGACCACAGACCCCTTCCCAGGTGATGCGGCGGGATACGGGATGGAAATGTTGACTTCTCAGTCCTAAACTTATGTGGACAAAATTGGCGTGCCACAAAGCCGGTAGGGGCTGCTCGCGCGGGAAAACTTTGGGGAGTTTCATCTCGGTTTTTTCTTTCTTTCTTGCACTTACAGCCTTACCGATCTGCGTCTGTGACTTGACTCCTGGTACCTGCGATTTAAACTGCTGCTGTGACAAGGACTGCGATCTTCCCCATCCCAGGACAGTCTTTTCCTTCTGCCTTCCTGGCAGTGTGAGGTGAGCTGCCTGCCATGCGCTTCGGTTCCTGAAGAGTGAGCCTCCTACCCCCACTTCCTCCCCTTGGATGTTCCCTTGGGTTTTCCCGGGAGTGATCTTTCTTCCCGCTTCTGTAGAGCTGAACCATCCAGTCAAACAGAACCCGTGTGTTGTGCCGCATCTGCCCACAGAGCCTCTTAGTGGCATCAGACATCGGTAGGACCCCTTCCCTCACCCACCCTTTGCCGTTCCTCAATAGCTTCATGTTTCCTCACAGATCTTCCAGCTGGGTATGTGTGGACAACTCTCTTATCTTCAGGAGCAACTCCCCATTTCCTTCGAGAGTTTTCACGGATTCCGGGGGAATTACCCAGTTTTGTGTCCGTGTGAACAACTGTGAGTAGAAACTTTGGCTGTTCCCACTTAACGTTTATTAAGGCGTGCCTCTGTCTTTGGACTTCCCCTGGCTGTCTAATTGTTTTGAGTCCCCGCCTCTCCTCCTCTCCTCCCTTTCCCATCACCCTCTTCCTTTCAGTTAGCAGAGGGCATTAGTAATTTCAGAAACCTCCAGTGGCTGTCCATTCCCTTGAAAATACGGCCGGAGGATGGCAGTCACTGTGCTCTCATACCTGAGTTTGTTGAGTGTGATAATGTGTGTTGTACTTCAAAGGTTGTTTCTTATGTCAGATACTTAAAAGGAAATGCTTTTACCTAAGTCTCTCTTCTTTTTAAAACACGTTTTTAGCAAAATTAAACTATTTCCAGAAGCTCCAAACAGTCAATGCAACCAACTTCCAGACCCTGGCTGCAGAGTTTGGAGGCCAGTCCTTTACTTCGGGGACATCTGAAACCCAACCGCCATTACCGTTTTACAGGGTGAGTGAGCCTGGGGGAAGGGGAGGGACAGTCTGGTTTTCCTGACGGAGTACAGTCGGCTGTGTAACTTTGTAGTACCCTTCCACAGTGAGGTTAACCATCATCAACTCTGTTAGAGGACAGCAAACAAGCCAACAAGTTGACTTGTTTCTGCTTCCTTTTTTCTGGGCTGAGTCTCACCTTGCCGTGAATAAAGTTGCCCTGTGTTTTATTCAGGCCGGGCACCCCATCCTGACTTACTACCCCAGCTGGTCTGTAGTGAGTTCCCTGAAGCAGCCCGCAGCAGTGGGAGCCGGGGGACTTTGTGTGGAGAGCAATCCTGCAGGTGGGTCAGGGCAGGAGGCCTCCGGCCTTTGCTCTTTTGGAAATGGGCTCTCTCGCTTACTTCTATCTTTACTCTGTGTTGCAAGGCTTCCTAGAGAGCAAAAGCACGACCTGCACCCGTTTCTTCAGGGACCTTGCCAGTAGCTGCACCTCGGAGCCCGCCCTGGACGCTGCCACTTACTATAACTTCACAGTCTTGAAGGTAGATGTTGCCTTGTCCCCACTCCACAGATTCCCCTCACTCAAGTTCACTGTCAAGTTCACATGTCCCCCACTGTTAGGGTTAGAGAAATATCTACGCTGCAAGCCATAATTCCTAAGATCTGCATAAAAGGTAGAGGGTAGGGAAACTATTGTCGGAAGAAAGATGGAAGCATTAGAGGCAATAAATCCATGGTAAGACCCTGTCACCATCCTGGCTAATGGGTTTACTTGAGAGAGTAATGAGCGGGTGGCAGGTCCCTGTTTCACCAGAGTTCTTGTTTTTGGATCTCTGTCTGCATAGGTAGGCATCGCAGTCCAGCCTGGCATCCGGCTCTGCTCCCTGGCATTTAGTGAAAGGAGAGTCAGATAGAATATGAGAGGCTACTCCAGTATTTCCTCCTCTCCCCCACCAAAGTCTGTCTGGGGTCCCATGGAGTGGAAACTCCTGGTGATTTTATGAAAGGCATAAGTATCTTCATGTCTCCATTCTTTCACTTCCCTAGGTTCCCAGAGGTATGACTGATCTTCAGAATACGAAGGTATGATGCCATTTAACAGGAGGAAGGGGTACCTGGCCTCCATGGAACTGAGGCCAGTTCATTCTAGATTGTAATAATGAAAGAGAATGTAGTCATTTTGTACCACAGTCAAGCAGGGCTCTAGACATAGCTTCACATGAAATAAAGATTGATGAGATGTTGTTAAGTCTAAAGAACACTAAGTTAAATCCAGCTAAAATGCCACATTTGGAGTAGGCATCTCTGAGTATTATTATGTACTAATGGACATTGTCAATGTCTGGAGGTAGAGTATAGAATTCTTGGTATCTGATTGGCTGTGGGGCCCTTGTTTCATGTGTAATAGGACTGTGTCCCAGAAGCTTGTGTTGAGATGTGCTGTTCAGAATGACTTGGATTTAAGCTGTCTGGCACTGAAAGGAGAGACAATTGTCTAGTCTAGGGGAAAGAAAGTATTCATTGTAGCACAATATATGGCTTTGTTTCTTCCTCTTATCAGCTCCGGGTTCCTGTAACACTCGCCTCACAAACCAGTCCTCCTCTGTTGGCTGGAAACACATGTCAGAATGCAGTTTCCCAGGTATGGAGTCTAAATGGCTCTCGTTGGCCAATATCACCAGAGGGACCTCACCTTCCCGTGAGGACTGGACTGACTCAATGAACTGCTGGAGTTGAGCCCATTCCTGTCTTCCCCAACCATGTTTCTATCCTGGCCATCACCACTGTCTGTCACTACTGTCCGTCACTACTGTCTGTCACTGCTCTCTGTCACTGCTCTCTGTCACTACTGTCTGTCACTACTGTCCGTCACTACTGTCTGTCACTACTGTCTATCACTACTGTCCGTCACTTCTGTCCGTCACTACTGTCTGTCACTGCTCTCTGTCACTGTCTGTCACTTCTGTCCGTCACTACTGTCTGTCACTACTGTCTGTCACTACTGTCTGTCACTGCTGTCTGTCACTACTGTCTGTCACTGCTGTCTGTCACCACTGTCTGTCACCGCTCTCTGTCACTACTGTCTGTCACTACTGTCTGTCACTACTGTCTGTCACTACTGTATGTCACCGCTCTCTGTCACTACTGTCTGTCACCACTGTCTGTCACTGCTGTCCGTCACTACTGTCTGTCACTACTGTCTGTCACCTCTGTCCGTCACTACTGTCTGTCACTACTGTCTGTCACTGCTCTCTGTCATTACTGTCGGTCACTACTGTCTGTCACTACTGTCCGTCACTACTGTCCGTCACTACTGTCTGTCACTACTGTCTGTCACTACTGTCTGTCACTGCTCTCTGTCACTACTGTCCGTCACTACTGTCCGTCACTACTGTCTGTCACCACTGTCCGTCACTACTGTCTGTCACTACTCTGTCACTGCTCTCTGTCACCACTGTCTGTCACCACTGTCCGTCACTACTGTCTGTCACTACTGTCTGTCACTACTGTCTGTCACTTCTGTCTGTCACTGCTCTCTGTCATTACTGTCTGTCACCACTGTCCGTCACCACTGTCCGTCACTACTGTCTGTCACTACTGTCTGTCACTACTGTCCGTCACTACTGTCCGTCACTACTGTCCGTCACTTCTGTCCATCACCACTGTCTGTCACTACTGTCCGTCACCACTGTCCGTCACCACTGTCCGTCACTACTGTCCGTCACTTCTGTCCGTCACCACTGTCTGTCACTACTGTCCGTCACTACTGTCTGTCACTACTGTCTGTCACCACTGTCTGTCACCTCTGTCTGTCACTACTGTCTGTCACCACTGTCCGTCACTACTGTCCGTCACTACTGTCCGTCACTACTGTCCGTCACTACTGTCTGTCACTACTGTCTGTCACTGCTGTCCGTCACTGCTGTCCGTCACTGCTCTCTGTCACTACTGTCTGTCACTACTGTCCGTCACTACTGTCTATCACTACTGTCCGTCACTTCTGTCCGTCACTACTGTCTGTCACCACTGTCTGTCACCGCTCTCTGTCACTACTGTCTGTCACCACTGTCTGTCACTGCTGTCCATCACTACTGTCTGTCACTACTGTCTGTCACCGCTCTCTGTCACTGTCTGTCACTTCTGTCTGTCACTACTGTCCGTCACTACTGTCTGTCACTACTGTCTGTCACTACTGTCCGTCACTTCTGTCCGTCACTACTGTCTGTCACTGCTCTCTGTCACTGTCTGTCACTTCTGTCCGTCACTACTGTCTGTCACTACTGTCTGTCACTACTGTCTGTCACTGCTGTCTGTCACTACTGTCTGTCATTACTGTCTGTCACCACTGTCCGTCACCACTGTCCGTCACTACTGTCTGTCACTACTGTCTGTCACTACTGTCCGTCACTACTGTCCGTCACTACTGTCCGTCACTTCTGTCCATCACCACTGTCTGTCACTACTGTCCGTCACCACTGTCCGTCA